AAAATATAAAAGTATCAACACCTTAGAATATAAAAGTTTCCAACTGAAAAACTCTTCATTATTCCCAATTATCTAAACTCCTTCTTGATCATCGACCTATCCATCCCAAAAACACCTTAAAATATAAAAGTATCAACACCTTAGAATATAAAAGTTTCCAACTGAAAAACTCTTCATTATTCCCAATTATCTAAACTCCTTCTTGATCATCGACCTATCCATCCCAAAAACACCTTAAAATATAAAAGTATCAACACCTTAGAATATAAAAGTTTCCAACTGAAAAGCTCTTTCTAATTATTTCCAATTATTTAAACTTCTTCTCAATCATCGACCTACCCGTCCCAAAAACACCTTAAAATATAAAAATTTCCAACTGAAAAGCTCTTTCTAATCATTATTTCCAATTATCTAAACTCCTTCTCGATCATCGACCTATTCAAAAACCAGATAACGCAAGAGAAAAAGTCCCATAAATTACCAGAGGACAACATCGAGCAATGACAAAATTAACAAAGATTCGTTCGAACGTTCTTTCGCGTCTCCTCGTTTTCGTCGAGCATCCTGAAATGAAAGGTCGGGTATCGCTTGAGCCTGAGCAGCTCGTGCTCGGTCTGCAGCTCGACGAGCTCCGCGTAATTCTCCTGCAGCTTCTTGACCAACGCCGATCGATGCATCACCATCTTCACCTTCCTGTCGAGGTGTTCCTTCTGCTTCTCCTCGGCGATAATGTCGCGCTTCAGCTCCATGTCGCATCTAGCCATGTTCATCTCGAGGATCTGCCGATCGAGCTTCTCGTTCTTCAGCTTCACGGCGGCGATCTCCTTCTCCACCGTTTCGAGCCGCGCCTTCTCCTCGTCCAACACCTTCTGAAACTTCCGCTTCACCGCCTCTATGTCGTCGTCGAGCTGCTGCGGCGTCTTATCGTCCGGCAAACCTTTCGCCTTCCGCTTCAAATACGCCTGCATCTCTTTCGTCACCATGGTCGTTTCCGTGAACCGGAGATCCTCCCTCAGATCCTCCAAATTCTTCTTGCGGCACATGTGCTGCCATTGCTTCAACAGGGTGCCTGAACAAAAATGGAACGAAAATGGAGGAAAGTTTCTCTGCATTGTTGAAGAAATATTATATCCAATATCTGTCTATAAAATTTATTTGCCTTAAGTTAAAAGTTGTACGGTTATTAATGAATGAAAGAAGGCTGTCACCTCTCTGAAAGCTCAACAAGTTGTTCAAAGCCTTCAATTTGCACTCGCCTGCGGCATGAATGTACGAGTTCACGGTATCAATGGTCGTTCTCGAGACTAGGACCGCGTTCTTCGAATCTGTCAATTCCCCCTCGAGATCTATCTCCACCTGGCCCATCTTCAGCACCAACTGTATCTCCACGTCGAGGTCCTCCATCATTTGCCGCATCCTATTCCGCACCAGCTCCTTGTTCATATCCTCCACGTCGATCTTGCACTTCTCCATCTTCTGCTCGAAACCGAGGAGCACCGCCTCCACGTCCATGAGCTCGGTCTGAGCCCCCTTTATCATCAGCTCCAAATTGATCTTGGCTCGTCGAAGACGGATCAAATTCTCCCAATTCGAGGCGTCTATGCTCGGCGGGAGGGTGACCGGTCTCACGTCGAAGTTGTGCAATATCCTCAGGTAATCCTTGCACTCGGATGGCAGGTAAATCTTGGTCACCTTTCCGCCTAACACGTCCTCTGCCAAGTCGTACAAATCGGACGACTCGAGATTCTTCAGATTCACCCTCGGCCTACGACTGCACTGCCTCTCCAATATCTCTATCTGCATCTTGTGCATGTGATAGAACTCGCTCTTGAACTTTTTCACGAACGCTTTCTCCTTGTTTATCAGACTCGTGTATTTTTCCGCCACTTTCTGGTGAACGTTCTCGAACATCTTTACATGCTCGCTCATCTCCTTCTCGAAATCCTTCTTCCTCGCGATCTTCTTCTTCAATATGTTCTCCTCGTCGAACGCTGTTATCCGTTGATGGACCAGAAGCAAACCTCGCACGTATCTCAGGTTCAATTGGTTGATCGCAGCCTCGACGTTCATTTTCACCTGTGAAAGGGAATTGGAGGTCAGTTGGGGCGATGATTGAGGGATAGATTGGAAACACTCACGTGGAACAGATTGTCCAACTTTCTGTTGAACCTGTCTATCCCTTCCTTCAATTGTTCCATAACCTTGGAATATTCCGCGTCCAACATCCTGTGATACCGTTCCCTCTCCTCGTTCAGAAATTGCACGTCCTTCTCGTACTGTTTCACGGCCAATATATCCTCGGTCGTGTAGTCCTCGGGTTTCTTGGTCAGCATGCAGGCGGGCTTAGGCACGTCTATCTTGATTACGTCCTCCCAACGCACCTCCAGCACACCGTTCATCATCGCCATGAGGGCCCGCTCCCGAAAATCGTCGGCCAGCAACAATTTTCTTATTCGCTCCTCCTCCGCCGCTTGCTTCATCAGCATTTCCATGTGGGACGGGGATATGTACGGTTTCGCCTTTATCTCGTCCCTCCTCACCGTGATGATGCTCTCCGGCCTCTCCTAAAAAAGAAAATGGCTGAGTGAGGCTCGTTCGAATTTACAAAGGATCTTTGGAAAGATATTTCAAGCAGTTATTGTGAAAGTGATACAGAAATGGTTTATTAAGAAAATTAAATAATACTAAAAAGATTGACAGTTTTATACAAAGCTGAAGTTGTTGTCTTTACTCTTCCATTTTTCTTTTTAACATTGGAACGACAAGCATTCAAACTGTTCACATAGAGTGGCGAGTGAGGACAGCAATGTAATGATAAAACAAATGATGTTGAAGATTATTCTTGCAAGCACTCTTAAATATCGAGCTGCTCGATACAGTGAAAGAAGAATTGTTAATCAACTGGAGTACCTGCCAGTGCCAGACGGGGTCGCTTGGGACGTGGGGCACGTGTTTGTTAAACATGATCTTCAATTCCGAATCTATGTAACGTATCCTCTCGATTCTGTCCCGTATCACGTTCATCTCTCTTTCCTTCAGCGCGTATATCTCGTTGAATTTATTGTTGAAAAACTCTCGAAGTCTGGTGCAGTCGTACATGAAGAAACGATTGTTTATCTTAGTTTGGGCGAATCCATAGTAGCCGAATTGGGGGTAATAAGGGGATGACTCGATGAATCTGTGCGTCGTCGTTCCTTCAAACGAGTAAACAATAATTAATAAACAATGGAATAATAATGGAATTGATTGAAAGGAAATAATATCTCTTTACCGTTCACCGCCTTCCGTTCCTCTATTTCGCTCTTAAACCTGTCAAAATCCTCCTCCTTGTCCTCCAACTCCCAATCGTTCATCAACAGATCGATCCTCTTGTCCTGCTCGCGATATATGCTGTGCTTCTTGTTCGCCTCCACCTGCAACTCTTGGTCGGTGTAAAGCTTCCAAGGCTCGAACCTGTCGTTCTCCAGGACGCTGTACGCGGTCTTTTTGTGGAAGTTGATGTACTTGAGGAACAGGACATCGTCCGGATTCTCGGCGATCGAGGGATAATTGACCACCTCCATCTCGCCGAAGATCGCGTAGAGGCTCTTGGCTAGGATCTTTTGCGGGTCCCAAAAGTTCTTGCGTATCCACTTCGACACCCGTTTCGTCTCGTTGATGTTGTGCTCGAACTCGAGGCGAAGATTCTCGCAAATGTCACGGCCCATTTTCAACTTGTGATCCCGGCCCTTGATGTCCAGATCGAACGCGGCTATGGGAAGCTTCTCTATCTCCGTGCTCGCCTCGTTCTCGTCCAACAACCTTTTCACCTTGTCCCGAAGCTCCTCGAAATCGTTCAATATGGCCGTCTTCTGCTCCCTGCTCGCTTCCTCCTCCTCCTTCAGTTGCATCTCGTGCCTCCATTCCGTCCACGTCTTGTCCCCCTCCTTCTCGGAATCCGGGAACTCGTACAACGGACTCGTCAGAATATCGTAAATCAACGGATCGAGGCTCGTGTAATCGATGTCGATCTTCTTCTTCATCTTCTCGTACAGCTTGTACTCCACTTTGGTCACGCGTTTCTCCTTGGGGGAACGTAATCCTTGCAGCTCCTACGCTGGAGAAAGGAAGCGGAAATGGGGGGAATGTTAATCGATGAAGAACGAAAAGGGAAAATTATCCAAGATTATCCACTTTTATGATTAGTTTATAGTTAGTTTAAAATTATTTCATTGCGTAAAGTTGACGGGAGATTTTTTTTTTATAAATGAGAATCAGTTGCGACTCTTTGTGTATAATAACTTCTTTTTTGAGAAGCGTAAGAATTTGGAATTGAAAATAGGCCTCAAGAAAATAGACCGAAATTGAACAAAAATAAATTGTTAATTTCACACGTTCACATCGCGCAAAGAAAAAATTTATATTTTCAGTTTATGAATAGTTGATGATATATTGCTTGGAAAACGAATAATTATCATAAATAATGGTCAATAAACTTATACTACTATAACAAAGAAATCTATTAGATTGTATCAATCAATTACGATTCGTAACTTAACCTATATTTTCATATTGTTATATTTCTTTTGTAACATACAACAAGAAATTAACAACAAGAATAACTTCTCTTTTGTATTACTTTTTTGAGAAACATAGAAGAATTTGGAATTGAAACTGAGGAAAACCAAAATATTGAATAAGGATAAATTGAAAGCCAAATGATACGTTTTCACACGTTTGGAAGTATGCTCATCGCGCAAAGAAAAAATATATCTTCAGTTTATGAATATTTGATGATATATCACTTAAAAAACGAATAATGATCGTAAATAATGATCAATAAACTTATACTATATAATAAAGAAATCTATTAGGTAGATTCGTAACTTAACCTATATTTTCATGTTGTTATATTTCCTTCTTTTTTGTATTACTTTTTTGAGAAACAAGAATTTGGAATTGAAAATGAGGAAGACCAAAATATTGAATAAGAATAATTGAAAGCCAAAGTGGAAGCAGAATTAAACGTATCTCCAATCACAATTTTCACACGTCCATCTTTGAATAGAATTATAACCTATGATAATCGTACGCGATCTGGACAATGGTTGGACATCGAAGAAAATTCTAAACGAACGTCTAAAGCATTATAGTCGAAAAACACTTAGGATGACTGTATGCTGGTCCATAAAGGAAATAATTCGTTATTCTTTTTAGAAACTTCCATGTGACAACATGGAAACAGAATTAAACGTATCTCCAATCACAATTTTCACACGTCCATCTTTGAATAGAATTATAACCTATGATAATCGTACGCGATCTGGGCAATGATTGGACGCCGATGAAAATCTAAACGAACGTCTAAAGCATTATGGTCGAAAAATATTTACGACGATTGTATGCTGGCCCGTAAAGGAAATAATTCGTTATTCTTTTTAGAAATTTCCATGTGACAACACTCTAAAAAAATTAGAAATAATATTTCACCAACCGATTGTCGCTCGTTTCGCTGTTCACAGTTGTCGTTATTCTTTTTAGAAACTTCTATGTGACAACACTTTACAAAAATTAGCCGATATTTCACCAACCGATTGTCGCTCGTTTCACCATTCACAGTTGTTTTTCAAAAAAATAAAATATTCGAATAATCTCTCCTCGCTAAAACCACGAAGAAGAGTGGCTCGTGTTTCGATCGAATGAAGATCAAAATTTCGAAAATATATCGTTTTCCTTCCTATCAAACGCAAAAACGGCAATTTCACGTGATGATTGATCATAATATTTTTCCAAAATTAAAATAATCCCATTTTTAAAAATTTCATGGATATCATTTTTATCAAGGTTGCGTTCGATGAAAATTTCACTCGAAAGGGGATTAGAATCGAGAGAAACGAATCAAGCGTAAGTAAATACCTTCTTGGCGGGGGAGAACTTGGTCGCGATCAACGAGCCGTTGTAACCGAGGGCGATGATCAGATCCCCTTGTTTATTGATCATTGCCTTCTTCGTACCCAATTCCTCTCTGTGATGGACCTTGATGCACGCCACTTCCCGCCTCACAGTCTTGTCTCTTACGTAAATTATTCCGTCGATGGCCATCGTGATGATCCACCATCGATCCACGAACAAACTGGCCAGTTTCACGAAATGCCCTGTCATCAAACTGTCCTCGAACGTGATGTTTTTGAAATCGTGTATCTTCTGCACTCGAAGTTGGCGCGTCATGTAAGGTGTTCCTATGAGGATCATCGGGTTACCGGGCAAATGGTAGAGATTCCGATACACGCCAGGCAAAAGCAATTCCACGATCGGCTCGATGACCAAGGTTTGATTCTCCAGGATCTCGTATAGGAACAGACTATGCCCCACGTTTCTCACGATCGTATACAGAACGAGAATACGCAGCTTCTTGTACCCTTCGAAGATTAAAACGTCGGAGATCGGGTGTCCGACTTTGATCAACGTTTGCACGTCGTACATATTCACTCGTTGCATGCTTATGTAGTAACAGTCGCCCGTTTTTTTCTCGGCCGCGACCAGAGATCTAGAGAAAGAGAGAGATGAAAAAGAGGTTATCAACAATCATCGAAAATAATTAAATCGTTCTGCACATATTCTCTTGTTATCTTGGATTAAATATATACTTATCGTTTTCAGTGTTGAAAAGAAGTCTACCAATTTGATCGTTAAAAATCGTAAATATCTATTTTCATTCGTTCGAAGTTACGTGGAAGCTGATATATTGAACTATTAATTATTTCGATATTAATATTAATACTATTCGAACTATCACAAAATTTATAAATCGAACTACAATCGTGATCGGTAATACGCGTAGAAATAAAAAAAATTATTTATATCATACTTTGGATTCTATGCCAATGAATATAAAGTTTAGATAGGTTATATCCGAATACGCGCGAATCCTCTCACCTTCCAGACAACGAGAATTTGATGAAATCCAACGGCGTCCGTTGGAGCCTCAATCGCGCCACGATCTTAGGATTGGTCGGTTTCACGATGGATACGCAGTGCAACTCGCCGTGATTGGTCGCCAAAACGATCAACGGGAATTCTGGGTGGGAGGTTTGGCACAGTATCTCGTGGTCCAAATCCGGTATTATGTTCGAGATGAGAGTCCCTTCGTAACACTCGAGTACGACGTACTCTTTGTTCGCGTCGCAAATAGCGAACAAATGGTGGCACCACGGATTGATAAAGTCGACGAAACGATACATTCCCCCGTTGTGGAAGCATTTGGAAACTGTTGGCTTGTCCTCATCATCGACTAAATCCACCTGCATCAGCTCCCCCTCATAGGTATAATAGAAAAATCGCTGATCCTGAAACGGATTCGTGACCAGGAGATACGGTTTCTTCTCCGATTTCACGTACCACATCTTCCTCCATATGTTCAACCTCGCGAATTTCTTGTAGAACGATATCTGGCAGAATGTTGTCCGTAATACGAGGCCGTCCTGGAACCACTTGATTATAGGCAGATCCTTGTCTATGCAGACGTTGCAACGTTGGACGACCATGATCTGATAGACGTCGCTTCCGTCGTAATTACTCAGATAGATGTGACCTTCCTTGTCGACGAGCGCCAACAACGGTTCCGTGGACGTTGAAGACCAGTCCAGGCTGAGAATCGGCTCATGTTTCGGAAGCTTTATCTCGTAGTCTGAAATTCAAACTTGTCGAAAGATTTCGTTCGTTCCAAGATCAATTTATAAAAATCGAGTGGATTTCATTTGGTTCATTGCCCGTGAAGAGGTTAGATTTTGTTAGATGCTGATCCGTAAGATAAATAATCAAAACACGTAAAATCGAATCGAATGGATTTCACTTGGTCAATTGCTCGTAAAGAGGTTAGATTTTGTTGGATGCTGCACAAAGATCCGTGTTATTCTTGTAAAATAAATAAAGCACGAATATCTCGAATAATGAGATTTCAAACTTTTCGAGAAAAAGCGTTGAACTGTTACCTTTCAAAATGACAGCTTTTTTGGTGATTATCACATCCCAAACATACGCCTCCCCGCAGCTTTTCCCCACTTGGGCAACGAGGATAGGCCCGATCAGATTGATCCTCATGATCTGGCCAATCTCGTCGCGTATATGGGTTTGCACGGCGGCGATCTTCTCGCCCGTCCTCCAATTCCATACGCTCAATCTAAAGTACGGATACGAGCCGATCGAGACCATGTAATCGGTGGCGGTGAATCCGGTGCACAGACAATGATTCGTAAACCCGTTCATGCATTCGCATACTTTGATCAACGACGGGTAAGTGTACACCATGATTTTTGGTTGAGAGCTTTTCTCGGCGAACGCGAATACGGGATACTTGGTGTGCGAGGAGAGAGATCGAACTCCCTCCCCGATGTCGTGGGACCAACACCAAAGGATACTCTTCTTCTTGTGCTCGATCTCGTAGAACACTATGTGAACGCCGGAACACCAAGCCAGAACGTCATTTCCTATCCAAATGATATCCTCGAATTTACTGCCGCGTGCCCAAGCGGTCTTCCAATTGTCGTGATTCATCGCTATTCTTCGAGAAATTTGGATAACCTCAAAATGGTTACAAATTTGGTTAACTGTAACTTTGATTTACATTTGGAAACAATTGAATTGAAATCGTAATACGAGGAATATCTCTTTTTTACGCTTAGATGATTTAGGAAAGTTTAGGCTCGGTTTATAACGAGTTTTAATAGTGAGTTTTATCCTAGTTATTTTTTTTCTTCTAACCGTTACCTCGGTTACTTAAAATTATCGTCTGTCGATAAGTTATTCCTTTTTCGTAGGTAAGTAGTTGGATTGTAAAAAAATTACGATTGTAAATTACGATTCAGAGAGGACGCTCGCGAGTTGGATTTAATTTTATTCGTGTCGTCATGCATGAAATAAAGAAGTTTGAGAAGCATTTTTTTGTGACTAATTGTACATGTAGCGGATAAGGAAAGTATATAAATTAAAGATAAATCGAAGAAGGAGAGAGGAAACGGGTGGCTGGTTGCCAGAAGCCAGTAGAGTTTGTCTTGGAAGAAAGAGTTTGGCAGGGTTAAGACAAAAGGTGATTAGGATACGCGCAGTCGATGCTGGGTTTATAAAGACCCCCATAGCGTGGCGTGATGAGGTCAAGCAGCGGGGAGTCATCCGTATACCAAAGGGTCGATCAAAAACTTATCCTTGCCACGTGATATACTACCCGTGGATGCCTGCCAACCTCCTCCTCCTCCTCCTTCCTTTCTTTCCCTCCCCCTGTTCGATGACCCGATCCTTCGACTGTCTGACCAATTTAAAAATCGATGCCCCGCCGTCGATAATGGACGCCATATTATACCTTTACATCGATTTTCAATTTCGTATCGAATCGACCGTTTTTTACCTTTGAAAATTCTGGAAATTTCGCAAATTTCGATTTATATTCCAACGATGAAATGATTATTCGAAATTTTCTATCTCTTTTAAAATTTTTTTTCGAAAGTTTCGAAAATTTCGCTCTTTTCGATCGAATGAACAATTTTTAAAATTCTATATCTTTCTTTAATATTGACTTTCATTAAAGTTTTATAATATTTTCAAGATAATCCCGAATATCTGAATCGTTCCACAATTAAAATAAAAATCTTTAAAAATTTTTAAAATTAAATCACAAAGAACACCATCGCCTATTTTTTTATTTTTAATTCGACTCGAAAGACAAAAGTTAAATCGATCGGAAAGTTAATAACCGTTCGTTCCTTCGAACGAATAATTAGTTATCGAGACAACCGATCGAAATAATATTTCGGGGGATACGCTTCCTCGAATATTTCTTCTTGCGCGTTGACGAGGGCCGAGCAACGCGCTGGACAAATTGCTCGAAAACCTAAAAAAGGAGAAAATCGTGGGCCCATCACAAGCACGGTCCCAACGACGTGGAACGTCCTCCCTCCCCTTCCTTTCTCAAGGGATCCACAAGGTTCACGGTGTGCCCGAACCTGTGCCCTCGCCATTAAATCGACGCCCGCTGAGCCTCGTATTTGCATAACCCGACGCCATATCCGACCGATCATCGACGTATCGACGTCCTTGCGCGGTTTCGCGCGCCACTCTCGTGGGAACAACCACCACCTCC